GCATAGATGGCTGATTTTCGAATTTTCCGCTCTCAAAACTCAGTAGCGTCAGTACGCCGCCCCTTTGTCCGCAAGCGTTTTTGTGATCTTTTGTTAGTATCGATTATACCTAACAAGGTTTATTCCTTGAGCAACAAAGAATAGTTTTAAAAAAGTCGAAAGCGCGGCTTGAGAGTACGTACACGGGAATCAAGTTCTAATTTACAGGTAATTATTCGTTAGAAAAACCAAATAAGAGGATACGTGTTTTTCTTCTCTCTTCATGACATGAAGTCATTTCTCAAACTTTCGGCTATCATTCAATTCCTTTAAGAACCTATCCCACCCAATACGTACATCTAAATCTCACTCAATTTTTAAGAGAAAATTTATTACCTAAATTACCGGTCATATATTGGCGAGGCTGAGTTTGCTCCAATGGCAATGTGTGGGATTCTCACATTTGAAAACGTGTGATCAAATTGCAATCATTCGATTTAATCATGTTGAAACTCAGCACTCTGCAACGAACATTTTGAAAGCAAATGTTATTTTTCCAAAGATTTGCCTTCCTTTAGAAAAAATTAAAAAACTTATTTTTGCTGCATGATTTTTAGAAGTGAATGCAAAACATTTCGTTAGTATCCCTCACAAAGTAAAAGAGACCAGGAGTATGCATCTTACACATATAAAATGCACTGATGAAGAAGCTGAAATGACGTGAAGCCATTTTTCGTAGTTAAATAAATAAAAACTTTTTTTCAACTAAATCGATACAGGGCGGACAAAAAACATCAGATTACAGATAAAATGCTTATTTTCCCGATCTTCGACGTATAACAATCATGGGTACTGCACATGTGAATTTGTTATTGCGATAAACGAGAGTATAACGAAGTCATTAACGGAAATACGAGGCGTAGATAGTATGCACTCTACCAACAAGGGCACTACGATCCATAGATGGCTTGACAGGATTTGCAGAAGTCTTGTTAGGTTTCCATTAGATTTCCATTATCTTTCGTCTATGTATAGTATCATTCAAGATAGTAATAGAACGTATGGCAATCTTGGCTCCATTAGATTTCCATTATCTTTCGTCTATGTATAGTATCATTCAAGATAGTAATAGAACGTTTGGCAATATTGGCAAACGTTATAAAATAAATTGAATGGCAATACCCCACAAAAAGGCCCACCTATTTCTAAGAGAAAGATCTCACTGTAATTCTTTCTAACCTCAGTTCTCTGGTGTTAATTATGAAACCCAAAATCCTATTAGTTTACCTTTTTATTGCAAGGTGTGTCTCCGTCTTTCACTCATTATAACTTTTCAGTTTGAAATCGCGCAACAAATGGATATAATATTCTTATTTAGCATATAATAAAAAAGCGCCACGACATGTTTTTGAGAATAATGGTCAACATCGAGTTTTGCGGTAATTTTACATTGTTATCATTATTCTACATTATGACGACATTGTACATAATGATCCTTGAACTCCGCGTACTAAAT